ATTATTATTATTATTATTATTATTATTATTATTGCCGTTGTTGTTATTCGATTCATTGTTGTTTTCGTCTTTGTGGTCTTCCTGTGGTATTGACCGCTGTTCTGTGTTCGCTGTCTCGTGTTAATGTTCCCACCAGCTGTAACCTGTAAACATTCGAAACTAAACAAACCATTCTTTTATAAATTTATCGCCAAGATTCTCGTCCGATCTCTTATTTCTTCGTTAAAAACCATACCTCACAGCAACTAGATGAATATTTATCATTGAGGTCTGGGATTTCACTCACGAGAACGAATATAATAAGCAGAATTTGAGACCGAAATTAGAGTCATGATTTCAGACTAAAAAAATTTTTTCTTCCTCTAAAATGGCTTCTACAAATGATCAGAATAGCGAATCTGCGGCATTGCTTGATCCAACAGCTTCAATATCCTCACTTCGTCCCACAGAACCAGAACAAGAAGCTGTCACAGAAGATTTAGACCTTAAAGTTTATCCGCAAAGATGGTATATTCTCGGTTTGTTTACGTTGTTTAATGCRACTACAAATCTTTTGTGGAACACGTGGCCCCCTGTTCAAGAGACTTGCCAACTCGTTTTTGGTTGGGACAAAAAGAATGTCTTGATTATTGGTGCTTTACAAGCTGTGGGATCCATTATTAGTGTCGTTCCTTCGTCGTGGTTTCTTGATACTAAAGGTATGAAAACTTATCTTCTGTATCAACCTTTTTTTTTTAATCAGATTTCTTTTAAAATCAGAAGATGCATGGTCACTGAGTTTGTTTGTTTGTGTGTGTGTGTGTTTTTTTTGTTTTTTGTTTGCTTTGTCAAGACGAAATCCTTCCCTACATTCTAATTTACTAACTTATAAAAAAGTTAATCTGTGTGAACGATGTATTTGGGTAGAATTCTTTTTAGAATTTGATTTATTAGAGACGTGTAAAAAGTGTGCAGGTGTTTTGAACGGTAGTCATAATCCTTTTTATGCCATTTTATTTAGAAGGTTCATTTACTTTCACAAACGCTCAATTTGATCAATCATTTATAATTTACAAATTGAAATATTTGCCTGATTTTGTCTCGACAATTTTGCAAAATATTTTGATGTTGATAGATAAATAATAAATTTTCGGTAATATAATCTTGGCAATTTTGATTAATCACATGTAAGAATTTTTTATGGGCCCTTCTTTCACCTAGTTACCTGTGATTTTAAAGTGTTAATTTTAAAGAGGCAGTATTTCTAAGTAATTAATCTTAATGTCAAGGTCTTCTAAGCTATAAAAATAACTTGAAGTGTTTCKTAAATCTGTTACACCTATTTTCAAAATTATACCACTGGCGCTGCTTGCCATACACGTAACACCTGCCTTGTGGGGGGGGGGTTAAAGTATGAGAAAACTACAGTATAAACTATATTTGGCCATCAGTTATTTTTRTAAAATTATGCAGTAAATATATAGAGCCTTTCCTWATACAGACACACTTCGTTTTATCAMAGACAGATATTTAGGTCCYGRCAAAATCATAAATAATACATTCTTTGTRTCATAGCCTCAAACTATAAATATCAAAGTGCCTAATACTCCTCTGACAATATTCTCAGAATTGATTCTACATGGTTGAACATGTCGAATGATCGAAAAAAATTGCATAGTTTGAGTGCAGCTTTGTGAAGTTATAAAGGTTTTTTTCACCATGTCATATGCTAATACTGTGATGTATGAGGAGGCATTTGTGTTTTCATTTTGTTGTTCCTCAAAATTCGAAACACCGGCTTCTACGCAAAAACTAGCTTGCAATAATCTCTATAAGGGCAATGGATAAAACAATGACACATTTCAATTTTTATTTATCTTTAAATGATTAACATTAGCATAGAAAAACCTTTATAACTTCAAGAAGCCGCACTCAAACTATAAAAAAAAATTCGGTTCGTTTATCATCTTATCCCATGTAGAACAAATACTAAGAATAATGCCGGAAGGGTGATAGGCACTTTAAGATTGTCTTCAGGCATTGTTCATGTAAAGCCTTCCCACACATGTGTTTAGTATGCGTGCTCTCATTGTGATGACCTCATTCAGATGTTAAGGTGGGCAAAATATTAAGAAAATCCATTCTGCATTTCTTTAATGTTCTATCTTTTATTTATTTTTTGTTCCTCAACATTACTGAATTTATTTTTCTAGCCATATTTCCATATTCTGCAAACTCAGACATTCCAACGGCTTGATGTGAAATTGGTTTTTCGTTGCCACCAGTCAAGAGCATAATAGGTGCCGACTGATTATTTTTGATTGACAGTAGCGAAAAACCAAATTTCAGCGTGCAGCTCTCAACTACTGAGTTCACAGAATATGGTAAAGCAATAGGTAGTGTCTGTATTATAGTGGTTCCAGCTGTTCATAGTTGTATATATTATTCTTCCATTTTTGTAAATGATATTTTACTTGTGTGTCTATGTAGGCCTGAGGGTTGCAGTTCTCTGTTCCCTTACTCTTCAAGTTGTTGGTGTTCTTTGTGAAGTATTTCCCATCCATCCCTTTTGGCTTCGAACGATCTTCATAACAATTGGTGAATTCCTCATCTCGGTGGCAGCACCAGCAGTACAAAATGTAGGAGTCGTTGTACTCTCTGCAACATGGTTCCCTCCTAATGAAAGAATGACAGCAACAGCTATAGCAACACTTGCGTCATACCTTGGCTCCGCAAGCAGCTACATCATGGGTCCATATATAGTTCCAGATGTTGACTACGGAAACATAACATACACAAAAGGAAGAAAAATCGACATTGATCTACTTCGCAACATGACATCACAGGCACACCTTAACTACCTCGAGTCTAAAATCAATGAATATATCCTTGCCGAGTGTGTTATCATTGGTATACTCTTCTTCGCTGCAATGCTATATTTCCCGGCCAAACCTCCTAGCCCACCAAGCAAATCGTCAGCAATGCAACGTTTTGACTTCTGTTCTGGAGCGAAAAATCTATTCAGAAACTCTCATTTTTGGCTTTTGCTTGTGGTGTTTAGTGTAAGCAATGGCGTAAGTTGGGGATGGTCAAGCGTGCAGGATCTGATATTTTCTCATGTTGGTATTAGTCAGAAAGCAGCTGGTTGGCTTGGATTTTTTGCTAATATTGCCTCTCTTCTTGGTATCATCTTTTCTTGGTAGGTTCAAGGTTTAAGTAAATGGGAATTTATTTATATGTAAATTTATTTTATTTTTTAGGCTGCATTCATAATGTATGGCTCTTACTGATTTTAACTGGCAGTCGTCTTAAATTTTACTGCTGTTAATTAACTAAAAACCTTATGGGATGCCARGAGGGCAACTAATTAATATTGGAAAAATTTATAGACTTCACGGCTGTCAAGGTTTCTTTTTATATTTAACTTATATGCTTTTTGATAAGAAGCTCATCCAAAAAACAATTGAATTGGCTGGTATAGTAGTTGGAACAATATGTGAAACACTAAGAATGACTGAATGGCTAACTGAATGAAAGAATGGATGGAGGGATGGAAGGA